GTCACACTCCACACCACACCTGGGGTCACCCAACACTGCCACACCTTGGGTCACCCCTGCCACACCTTCCAACACTGCCCACACACTTCACACACCCACCCAACACTGCCACACCTTGGGTCACCCAACACTGCCACACCTTGGGTCACCCAACACTGCCACACCTTGGGTCACCCAACACTGCCACACCTTGGTCACCCAACACTGCCACACCTTGGGTCACCCAACACTGCCACACCTTGGGTCACCCAACACTGCCACACCTTGGGTCACCCAACACTGCCACACCTTGGGTCACCCAACACTGCCACACCTTGGGTCACCCAACACTGCCACACCTTGGGTCACCCAACACTGCCACACCTTGGGTCACCCAACACTGCCACACTGCCACACAACACTGCCACACCTTGGGTCACCCAACACTGCCACACCTTGGGTCACCCAACACTGCCACACTCTTGGGTCACACCCAACACTGCCACACCTTGGGTCACCCAACACTGCCACACCTTGGGTCACCCACCCAACCTTGGGTCACCCAACACTGCCACACACCTTCACACACACCCAACACTGCCACACCCCCAACACTTGGGTCACCCAACACTCCAACACTGCCACACAACACTTCCACACCTGGGGTCACCCAACACTGCCACACCTTGGGTCACCCAACACTGCCAACACTGCCACACAACACTGCCACACCTTGGGTCACCCAACACTGCCACACCTTTCACACACCCTCCAACACTGCCACACCTTGGGTCACCCAACACTGCCACACCTTGGGTCACCCAACACTGCCACACCTTGGGTCACCCAACACTGCCACACCTTGGGTCACCCAACACTGCCACACCTTGGGTCACCCAACACTGCCACACCTTGGGTCACCCAACACTGCCACACCTTGGGTCACCCACCTGCCACACACTCCCCAACACTGCCACACCTTGGGTCACCCAACACTGCCACACCTTGGGTCACCCAACACTGCCACACCTTGGGTCACCCAACACTGCCACACCTTGGGTCACCCAACACTGCCACACTTGCCACCCAACACTGCCACACCTTGGGTCACCCAACACTGCCACACACACCCACCCAACACTGCCACACCTTGGGTCACCCAACACACACCCAACACTGCCACACCTTGGGTCACCTTCTGCCACACCCTCACCCAACACTGCCACACCTTGGGTCACCCAACACTGCCACACCTTGGGGTCACCCAACACTGCCACACCTTGGGTCACCCAACACTGCCACACCTTGGGTCACCCAACACTGCCACACCTTGGGTCACCCAACACTGCCACACCTTGGTTCACCCAACACTGCCACACCTTGGGTCACCCAACACTGCCACACCTTGGGTCACCCAACACTGCCACACCTTGGGTCACCCAACACTGCCACACCCTTGGGTCACCCAACACTGCCACACCTTGGGTCACCCAACACTGCCACACTGCCACACAACACTGCCACACCCAACACTGCCACACCTTGGGTCACCCAACAACACTGCCACACCACCTTGGGTCACCCAACACTGCCACACCTTTCACACACACTCCAACACTGCCACACTGCTTCACCCACCCTCCCACACTGCCACACAACTTCACACACCCTCCAACACTGCCACACACCTTCACCTTACGTCACCCTGCAACACTCCTTGGGTCACCCACCACTGCCACACTTGGGTCACCCAACACTGCCACACTTTGGTCACCCAACACTGCCACACCTTGGGTCACCCAACACTGCCACACCTTGGGTCACCCAACACTGCCACACCTTGGGTCACCCAACACTGCCACACCTTCACACACACCCAACACTGCCACACACCTTCACACACACCAACACTGCCACACCTTGGGTCACACCAACACTGCCACACACCTTGGGTCACCCAACACTGCCACACACCTTCACACACACCCCAACACTGCCACACGACGCCCCGACGCCCCGACGCCCCGACGCCCCGACGCCCCGACGCCCTGACGCCCCGACGCCCCGACGCCCCGACGCCCCGACGCCCCGACGCCCTGACGCCCCGACGCCCCGACGCCCCGACGCCCCGACGCCCCGACGCCCCGACGCCCCGACGCCCCGACGCCCCGACGCCCCGACGCCCCGACGCCCCGACGCCCCGACGCCCCGACGCCCCGACGCCCTGACGCCCCGACGCCCCGACGCCCCGACGCCCTGACGCCCCGACGCCCCGACGCCCCGACGCCCCGACGCCCCGACGCCCCGACGCCCTGACGCCCCGACGCCCCGACGCCCGACGCCCTGACGCCCCGACGCCCCGACGCCCCGACGCCCCGACGCCCCGACGCCCTGACGCCCCGACGCCCCGACGCCCCGACGCCCCGACGCCCCGACGCCCTGACGCCCCGACGCCCCGACGCCCCGACGCCCTGACGCCCCGACGCCCCGACGCCCCGACGCCCCGACGCCCCGACGCCCTGACGCCCCGACGCCCCGACGCCCCGACGCCCTGACGCCCCGACGCCCCGACGCCCCGACGCCCAGACGCCCCGACGCCCCGACGCCCCGACGCCCTGACGCCCCGACGCCCCGACGCCCCGACGCCCTGACGCCCCGACGCCCCGACGCCCCGACGCCCTGACGCCCCGACGCCCCGACGCCCCGACGCCCCGACGCCCCGACGCCCCGACGCCCTGACCTGTACGGCACGAGCTCTCTCATATGCCAGGCTCCCATGCTGCCAGTGTGGTAGACTGTGGGCAGGTTTACAGGCTCCCATGCTGCCAGTGTGGTAGACTGTGGGCAGGTTTACAGGCTCCCATGCTGCCAGTGTGGTAGACTGTGGGCAGGTTTACAGGCTCCCATGCTGCCAGTGTGGTAGACTGTGGGCAGGTTTACAGGCTCCCATGCTGCCAGTGTGGTAGACTGTGGGCAGGTTTACAGGCTCCCATGCTGCCAGTGTGGTAGACTGTGGGCAGGTTTACAGGCTCCCATGCTGCCAGTGTGGTAGACTGTGGGCAGGTTTACAGGCTCCCATGCTGCCAGTGTGGTAGACTGTGGGCAGGTTTACAGGCTCCCATGCTGCCAGTGTGGTAGACTGTGGGCAGGTTTACAGGCTCCCATGCTGCCAGTGTGGTAGACTGTGGGCAGGTTTACAGGCTCCCATGCTGCCAGTGTGGTAGACTGTGGGCAGGTTTACAGGCTCCCATGCTGCCAGTGTGGTAGACTGTGGGCAGGTTTACAGGCTCCCATGCTGCCAGTGTGGTAGACTGTGGGCAGGTTTACAGGCTCCCATGCTGCCAGTGTGGTAGACTGTGGGCAGGTTTACAGGCTCCCATGCTGCCAGTGTGGTAGACTGTGGGCAGGTTTACAGGCTCCCATGCTGCCAGTGTGGTAGACTGTGGGCAGGTTTACAGGCTCCCATGCTGCCAGTGTGGTAGACTGTGGGCAGGTTTACAGGCTCCCATGCTGCCAGTGTGGTAGACTGTGGGCAGGTTTACAGGCTCCCATGCTGCCAGTGTGGTAGACTGTGGGCAGGTTTACAGGCTCCCATGCTGCCAGTGTGGTAGACTGTGGGCAGGTTTACAGGCTCCCATGCTGCCAGTGTGGTAGACTGTGGGCAGGTTTACAGGCTCCCATGCTGCCAGTGTGGTAGACTGTGGCAGGTTTACAGGCTCCCATGCTGCCAGTGTGGTAGACTGTGGGCAGGTTTACAGGCTCCCATGCTGCCAGTGTGGTAGACTGTGGGCAGGTTTACAGGCTCCCATGCTGCCAGTGTGGTAGACTGTGGGCAGGTTTACAGGCTCCCATGCTGCCAGTGTGGTAGACTGTGGGCAGGTTTACAGGCTCCCATGCTGCCAGTGTGGTAGACTGTGGGCAGGTCTACTGGCTCCCATGCTGCCAGTGTGGTAGACTGTGGGCAGGTTTACAGGCTCCCATGCTGCCAGTGTGGTAGACTGTGGGCAGGTTTACAGGTGGGACAATGGTAGACTGTGGGCAGGTTTACAGGTGGGACAATGTGGTAGACTGTGGGCAGGTTTACAGGTGGGACAATGTGGTAGACTGTGGGCAGATTTACAGGCAAGACAATGTGGTAGACTGTGGGCAGGTTTACAGGCAGGACAATGTGGTAGACTGTGGGCAGGTTTACAGGCAGGACAATGTGGTAGACTGTGGGCAGGTTTACAGGCAGGACAATGTGGGAGACTGTGGGCAGGTTTACAGGCAGGACAATGTGTTAGACTGTGGGCAAATTTACAGGCAGGACAATGTGGTAGACTGTGGGCAGGTTTACAGGCAGGACAATGTGGTAGACTGTGGGCAGGTTTACAGGCAGGACAATGGTAGACTGTGGGCAGGTTTACAGGCGGGACAATGTGGGAGACTGTGGGCAGGTTTACAGGTGGGACAATGTGGGAGACTGTGGCCAGGTTTACAGGCAGGACAATGGTAGACTGTGGGCAGGTTTACAGGTGGGACAATGTGGTAGACTGTGGGCAGGTTTACAGGTGGGACAATGTGGTAGACTGTGGGCAGGTTTACAGGCAGGACAATGTGGTAGACTGTGGGCAGGTTTACAGGCAGGACAATGTGGTAGACTGTGGGCAGGTTTACAGGCAGGACAATGGTAGACTGTGGGCAGGTTTACAGGCGGGACAATGTGGGAGACTGTGGGCAGGTTTACAGGTGGGACAATGTGGGAGACTGTGGGCAGGTTTACAGGCAGGACAATGGTAGACTGTGGGCAGGTTTACAGGTGGGACAAGTACCTGGCTCACAGGAAGGACAAGACGTGGTTTACTTCTCCTGGTTAATGTAGTCTACAAAGTTTACTTACACCATCTTCTTCTCCTCTGGCAATTCCCCATAACTTGTGCCGCTACTGGACTGAGAGTTGACTGATGATAGATTCATTATCATAATTTACTTCATGACTCTATGAATGCACTCATGAGCAAATATTAGCGATGTAAAGTGGGATGAATCCCATGTTTATGGAGACAACAATCTCAACCAGCAATACAACCATACTTACTTCCTGTTGTGAGACTCCCAGGTCCACGAGTCTTACACGACACCTCAGGTACCACGAGTCTTACACGACACCTCAGGTACCACGAGTCTTACACGACACCCCAGGTACCACGAGTCTTACACGACACCTCAGGTACCACGAGTCTTACACGACACCCCACGGTCTTACACGACACCTCAGACCACGAGTCTTACACGACACCTCAGGTACCACGAGTCTTACACGACACCTCAGGTACCACGAGTCTTACACGACACCTCAGGTACCACGAGTCTTACACGACACCTCAGGTACCACGAGTCTTACACGACACCTCAGGTACCACGAGTCTTACACGACACCTCAGGTACCACGAGTCTTACACGACACCTCAGGTACCACGAGTCTTACACGACACCTCAGGTACCACGAGTCTTACACGACACCTCAGGTACCACGAGTCTTACACGACACCTCAGGTACCACGAGTCTTACACGACACCTCAGGTACCACGAGTCTTACACGACACCTCAGGTACCACGAGTCTTACACGACACCTCAGGTACCACGAGTCTTACACGACACCTCAGGTACCACGAGTCTTACACGACACCTCAGGTACCTCGAGTCTTACACGACACCTCAGGTACCACGAGTCTTACACGACACCTCAGGTACCACGAGTCTTACACGACACCTCAGGTACCACGAGTCTTACACGACACCTCAGGTACCACGAGTCTTACACGACACCTCAGGTACCACGAGTCTTACACGACACCTCAGGTACCACGAGTCTTACACGACACCTCAGGTACCACGAGTCTTACACGACACCTCAGGTACCACGAGTCTTACACGACACCTCAGGTACCACGAGTCTTACACGACACCTCAGGTACCACGAGTCTTACACGACACCTCAGGTACCACGAGTCTTACACACCTCAGGTACCACGAGTCTTACACGACACCTCAGGTACCACGAGTCTTACACGACACCTCAGGTACCACGAGTCTTACACGACACCTCAGGTACCACGAGTCTTACACGACACCTCAGGTACCACGAGTCTTACATGACACCTCAGGTACCACAAGTCTTACACGACACCTCAGGTACCACGAGTCTTACATGACACCTCAGGTACCACGAGTCTTACACGACACCTCAGGTACCACACTCACCACCACCACCACCAGGCACCACACTCACCACCACCACCACCACCACCACCAGCACCACACTCACCACCACCACCAGGCACCACCACCACCACCAGGCACCACACTCACCACCACCACCAGGCACCACACTCACCACCACCAGGCACCACACTCACCACCACCACCAGGCACCACACTCACCACCACCACCACCAGGCACCACACTCACCACCACCAGGCACCACACTCACCACCACCAGGCACCACACTCACCACCACCACCAGGCACCACACTCACCACCACCACCACCACCAGGCACCACACTCACCACCACCAGGCACCACACTCACCACCACCACCA